ATCTGAATCACCACCATTTTATCCGTCTATCTGGAATTCTCTCCCACAACACTTGATGGATGCACGGTCGGGGGCAATTTTTTTCAATTCATTTAAAAACACACTTTTTGAAATGTCATCTTGGTAGACAGTCTTCTTTATTACAGTGCTCTCATGTTCATAATGTGATGTGCATATCTTTGTCGATCGTGCAGTGATAGTATGAATATCTATCTATTATAAAATGTTAGAGTTCATCTAAAGAGCATGCGTATACTTGCTCATTCATTGGTATGTTGTGTTAAGATGGAGGTACTATAAAGCGCCGGGAACTGCATTGTACGATTGTACGAGAGTGGGCGCTATATAGATTAGAAGTAGTAGTACTTTAATAGAAGTAGTAGTAGTAGTAGCAGCAGCAGCAGCAGCAGCAGCTGTATGGTTAGTTTAAATACAAATGCATGTTCATCTGATTTTCTCGTGTCCTCTACAGAATCGGAAGTGACGAGTTCATGGGTTGTGTGACCTTGGGACCCAAAGTGGGAGGTCAAGGCCGGGAGCACTGGTACGAGATGTTGGAGACTCCGCGGCGCCCTGTGGCCCAATGGTACCCCTTGATGGAGCAACCACCGCTTCCCGCCCCCAGCAACGGCAAATGTTGTCTCCGACAGCGACAGTCAACAGAGGATTCGGTGGCTAGCGATAACAACAACATTGGCTGACGCAAAAACTTGCTAGAACTTCGATCAGTTAACAGATGAATGATTGATTTATCTCGATATCTGCATCAGAGAGCAGATTTTTTTCTGTCTGGAGAACTCTGGTCGGTTATCTATGATTGATTTGTCTCTATATCGAGGTCAGAAAGCCCGTCATTTTTCTGGTGCACTGCCCAAAGGTAGCCCGTTTTGTGTGGTCGTGATTTTTCTCTCACACTGCCAGGTATTTCGTGGCCCTAGTGTTGTCCCATGCGGTGGTCAGTGTGGCCAGAGGGTTTCGATCCTTCGACATGACGTCACCTTGGCTGTATGGATGAAAAGCATCTTTCATAGTTGTTTGTTTGCCTGTGCGACGCCAAGAGAACTGAACAATGGGATGTATCTTCACTCTTTACATTTCATGTTTTGTGAACTTTGTGGCTGATCGGGGGCGGGAGGAGGTGGGTCGTGGTATCTGTCTTGATTTTCGAGAAATTCCACCTGTCGGGGTGGGAGTACTTAACCTTATATCACCGTTTCCATTTTATTGGTTCTTGCCCACGTTCTGTTTTTACCCCTCCCAACCCCCACCCCCAAAAAGAAATTAATAAATTCTTATATATTCTGGGATGCTTTTTTATTATTTACATTCATAAGCGGATGGAAGTTGACCAACTGTTTTAGGCAGATTTATGTTGGCCAAAACTTTGGATTGAAAAAGCGTAAAAATGTGAGCACGAGAAGTATGTGTGACCAATAATTTGTTATAAAATCGCTACCAGATGTGGGCTTATGATAAATGGAGTCTTACATGGCTCTGAAATGCCAAAGTTTGATATTATTTTCTGACTGTGTCACAGAGATTTTCCATACATCATTCTTATTTCAGCCTTGATTTCTGTTTATTAAAATAAGAACAATGGTTTTATTATTCTGGAAACGAGATAGCTTCTAAAACCAATCTAAAACTTTATTTAATAATAATAATAATAATAATAATAATAATAATAATAAAATAATAATAATGATAAAAATAATAATAATAATAATAATAATAATAATAATAATAATAATAATATCCCCGCTCAACAGCAGACTCTATGCGCTTTACACTATATTACACTATAAAAAATATTTTAGTTATAGAAACAATTTGTTATACTCGAAAGTAGGAAATATTTTAGTTATAGAAACAATTTGTTATACTCGAAAGTAGGAAACACACACGTGATTTTTATGCAAACCTTTCAGTATTTCGGTGTACCTTTGACAAATAATTTCTTTTTCAGCGTGCATTTCGTTTGTTTAACAGATGTACATTATGACCACTGCAGCTGAGTTTTTCATTTTGTCTTTGAATAAACATTTAAGTGTTACTAGAGGATCCGTTTCCATGATGATGTCATGGCAGAGCATCGGGACATGTAAAGGGCCAAGTGTAAAGACTGGGGATGTCACTCTTTGAACATTTTAAGAAATCATAAATTTAAAGTTTGCGAACTAGATCTAGTAGTGCTTTTTTATCACTAAAATCCTCTGGGTATCATTATAAACCGTTTAATTTCAGTTCAACTGCTTTGAAAGATAGCAATAATATGAAATGTGTAATAATAAAAACAATAATAAAATTATAAATGATAATAATAATAATAATAATAATAATAATAATAATAATAATAATAATAATAATAATAATAATAATAATAATAATAATAATAATAATAATATTATTATTAATAATAATAATAATAATAATAATGATAATAATATTCTGTCCACAGAACCCGTCATACTCCCGTGATTTAGATGACACGTGTGCTTTGATATGACCAAATCGTACGTTGTTCTAGCTTTGGGCGTTGAGGACAGAAAGAAATTGTGTTGTATGCATTAAAAGAAAGATTTAATCTCGAGCACAGTTGGAAACGGCGTCTGTGGTGTCGCGTTCAGGGGCTTCGCTGCCGTACACAAAAGACCTGTGTTCGATTCTTGTGTGTGTATTTGGGGGGGGGGGGGGGTTATCGAGTATCTTTGTCTTTTTTCTTGATGTTCTTTCCCTATCAGTCCCAGCTGACCCCGACAAGCAGGGTTCAAGCCCGCTTCCTAATTGATATACATTGTGTCGATGGGAGTGTAAAAAATACGTATACATGTATTAATGAAAAGAACACAACTTGCTTAATCCGAAGGCGTCAAACTAAGGCAAAATCAGTATAGCCTGTTTGAGACCACCACCGAGCGTCTTGCTTGGAGTAAAGTGTTGAGAACGATGATAGTCATTTTTTTTTTGCGTGACAGGGAAGCAAGAGGTAGGGGCGGGAACAACAAAGGGAAAGGAAAGAAGTAAGATCTATTTCCTACCAACTGAAAATATTAGGTGTGTCCCGCGCGCTCATATGACCTATGCAGTTGCGAGCGCCGTAAAACACTTTACAGAATTACAGAAACAAACAATCTGCTTCCTTCATTTTCATTTAGCCCTTTAGGGGCGAAACAAACTCATAAGATGCCTGATCAGCAGCTGACCAAATGCATTTGTGTGGCATATTTCGAACCATGATATTATTTACATTAGGAAAACATATATGCATATTTCCTAGTATACATATTGTTTCTTGACTTTTAAAGTTTCAATAAAGAAAATAAAATCGAAACATTGGTTCAAATGATGAAGTTGTGCTCCAAAACAACGCTTTTTTCCCTGACTTGTTAAATGGTCAGTATGCGTATCTTCAAAGAGTTTTAAACAAACCACAATAGGGTCAGTGACACGTGAACGCTTTCCTCACGTGCTCAGTATTTTCTCTCCTTATGAAGGTGAGTTAGTTAGCGTTCGACTGAGCCACGTTATTGCGGGAAGAAGAATAAATATGCTGACAAATCAGAACACCTCACCAGATTAAATGTCCTTTTTTGGCTCCGAATTTACTATTTACATATTTGATAATAATGAAAATGAGTTTGAGTAGTTACATACGACCCAGACAACTCCCACTTCTCCCCCCCCCCCCCCACCCCCCCAAACATACTTCTGAATTCAGTGTCTACCACGACACCGCTGTTTTAGTGATGCTAGTAGAAAGGTGGGCTTTAGTAATAAAGACAATATCATAATATTTAAAGGAGTAACTACCAGAAGAAAACTTCCTAAGAGACAAGAAACGAATTACTTTTTAAAAACTTTTTTTTTAAAAATAGAACCCAGTATGTTTGAAGTGGGCCGCTAATCGGGCTTCTCATAATTTGTTATTACCTTTTCGTTCCTTTTTGCCTCTTCAGGGATGATGTTTCTTACGTTTGTTAAGGGAATTTTCATTATATAGCAATTTATTTCGTTTCGGGGGTAACAATAATAATGAATGATATTTCCAGTTTTTAAACTGATTTTAATTCTCGAGAACGTATATCATATGAAAATAGAGATACACGTTGTATACAAGTGTTACTGTTGTGTATTTAGCGGTCAATTATATTTTGTTAGAATTATTAAGGACTAATCGATAAGATGGCGATCATATCCTAGGACCTAAAGAAACTGAGATAATAAATGGAAACTACAGTCTCTTCTATCTGCATTATTTTGGCGTCGCTTTTTTTTAAAAAATCTGTTATTTCTCAGAATACGGATCGGAATTCCATTGCCGTGATTGCAAGGTGTTGCGCTTAGTTCTACGTTATAATGTATAAGCATTTGGAGAACTTTGCGACAAAAATATGGTCTAAATATATCTCCAACGTTCAAACTTCCGCGCAGAATGATACAACTTTACTGCTTTGAAAAACTGTGTCTCAAATTATGCTGCACCCAAGGGTTGTGTACTGCTCCGCTTCAGAGATTGTTCTTTAACAGCTTGATGATTGGGAATTAAATAACGGGGCAGTCTTAAGTTTTCCAGGTATACAGCGGTTTTGTTTTGTTTTTTTTTTTTCTTCGGTGTTGGGGGGAACAAAGTCCTTCATTAGCAAACTGAAATGTTCACCTGTTTTGCACGATACGTACCCGACTTGTGTTTGTGTCTTTGTGAACCTTGTTTCAAATATTTTCTATATATTATTATCCCAAACACGACGTTATTTTATGGTTTTATCACCACTGTTTTCAACATGCCTTGGCGTTGTTCGACTGTGTGCATTTGTGATGAATATTGTGATTTTAAAATATGTTTTATCTTACCTTCTATTTTTTCAACTTGATGACTAATTGCGTCAGTAAAGTCTATTTTCCTTTAGTTATGTCTATTATTGTTGAGTTTGTGATACCAGGAAGCTACCACTTTTGTGTATAAAGAGAATGTTACATATATTTTCAATTATTATTGTTTTATGAATATTTTGTATCAATCGAATGATGGATTTGTATAAGTATAAGGCTAGCTTTGAGCAGACGAAACGAAATTTTGACATTCGAAGGAGGAAACACACTTGCAAAAAATTATATTATAAACCTAGGTATTTGTCCCTAATAGAGTCCTTAAAGGAGGATGAGTAGTATTGAGTGCCAAAAATGGAAAGAACACGGCTAACGTGGGTGAAAGAGGGGGGGGGTGCAGGTCCATATTGAATGCAGAAAGTATAGATGAATAGATAGCACTATATTTTTTAACATGATAAAAGATTTATTACAGTTTAAGTAAAGGCCAGAGATATTTGAGCTTGAGTGTGGTACAGCCATTGCTACCTTCAAATCATGTAGTTCTTTGGGTTAACAATATCATAGCAACTCTATATGGGAGTAAAATGTTTTAATACACTATACATTTTAGAGCACAACCTAATTAGACAGAGTGAGAAACAGACGGAAAATGAATGGAAACCTGAATACAATACGTCAAAATGTCAACAGGTTGAAATTTTCGTGGAATGATGCAGAGACAAGAAAGGGAAGGACAGAAGGACGAAGGCAACAAAGATATTTTGTGTCACCGCCCGGTGAAATCAGGCGCTCGTCTCTGGCATATGGAGTTATTAGCATCATCTAAAAGTATGTTCATTTGTCTTCCATTAAATAAATAAATAATTTACCCATATTCCTTGAATAGAAGTTGAGATATTTGTGATTGAATGAGGTGAGGGTCGCCTGGTGTCAGGGGTAAAATTAGCGAGACAATAGCTGCCAAAGTTTGGTGATTTTCATAGCTTGAGTGGCATTGGAAACAGGAGATTTTCATTTTTTTCCCTGTTTAATCACTGTTTTTGTTATGGGGGTTTTTAATAGTAAATAACATACAAAAATGTGTTTTAAATACACATTAAAAGTGTTGAGCCCCTAAAAAGTATGTAAAATTGCACAACGGGCGGAAAATGTCGGTTTCTTCAACTTCATTATTTTGACGAGTGCCTGATTTCACCACACTTGTACTTTATTCTAAAATGCAGGGCCACAGGCCACAGTCCCATATTTCAAAATACAATCGGTACATCACATTGTCATATTATGCATCATCAGTTGCAGTTCAATGTCGAGACAGTAGGATGATAAAAATACCGCGAACGACCTCACTTTGTATATTTTGCATCAACGATAACATTCAAATACATGAGGTAATAGAACAAGTCAAAGTTAATTTTAAACCCTCCCCCCCCCCCCTCAATATTTCACGCTAAATTCCTAAAATAAGTAAACGCCTATTCCACTGATGACGTCACGGCGACCCGAATAAGGCCCCACCGAGAGTGGACACCCCAGGTGTGCTTAGTAGGTCAAGTAAGTTCAAAATAAAGGGTTCAATTTTACTTTTACCCTGAAACATGCTTTTGAAGAGTCGTACTAGGGCAGTGAAAAATATGTGTCTCAACCGATCTAACAGTTAAATTTGAAAATGAAGTGTCATCTTTATCAATGACAAAGAGGATACGTTACGTATTAGTGGTATGCGCCGAACCATGCATTTCTGTACTTCAAGGGCAAATAAACGCACAGCTGCTTGACAGAATAATAGATCAAGATCTGCTTGAAGAAGACATCCCA